AGGAACCAGTAAGATGTTCTCTTAACGGTAGCTAATTGCAGCAACCATATTGACACAATATCCCTAAACTTCTGGAAGACCCAGGAGGTGGGAACAGGAATTTTATAGGGAGCTAATTTGCTATTAACATAGTTCAACATTATTCTTTACGTGAAACAAGAAGAAGGAGACCGCTTAAATCAAATGCTGTTTTTTGTTATATTCTGATACTTTCCAATTTTGTTAAACCATACTTAGCACATGTTCCGGGCCAACAGTTAAGCAGAGAAATTTGACTACAATCCTCACTACTGCTTAAATCATCTGTTACAACAGAAAATTTACTGGTCTCTTAAATAACAGGGGAGAACTGAATCCTGATTCAGTGAGCAGTAAACGTAGGACCATCTTTCAGTTTACTTGTTATCTCTTGTATGCATATGGATGGTGACATCTTGACTACAGATGGTCCTGAGACAAGAAACACATCATGTAAACAAGATAAGGACTTGAGTCTTTCCTACAAGATTTTTCAATTTTATAGAAGGAGAAACATGTAAAGGGTTGGGTTTTTTTGAGTTTGGTTTTTTTTTTTTTATACAAAAAGAAACATGCAAAGCAGGAAAAGAGCTGACAAAATAACTACAGCGTATTTTGGTAAGAAAGCACTCGATAATCCTTTGAGTGCGAGCTCTGTGTAACCCTCCCCTCCAACTACGAGGGTCTCTGTGCACTAAGATCTCCCTCAGTTACATACAACTTCTTTTCAGCAACAAAGTTTGCGTCGACCACTTCACAACAGAGCTCTCCGACAACAATTCCAAAGTAAAAAAAAAAAAACAAAAAAAACAAACAACAAACCCTGCGTCCTCTCACAAGTCTACCTAACGCCCGGCATTTAGGGGCATTTCCTCGGTTCAAGATTAAACACCGAGTCTATTTGAAGGAATCAGAGCCGGGAAACGCACTCGAGTACCCCATCGGCCGCGCAGTTTAAGTTTCCCCACTTCATTTGTGTCGAATGCTCTTTTACGGGGGGGTGTGTGTGTG